GGACTTTGATGGGACTGGTAGCTTTATTATTAAGAGGGAGAGAGATCTGAGCTGACACATCTGTGATTACCGTGTGACGCCTCCTATCATGACATAGCAGGAAGGCCCTTGCTAGATTCCAACACTCAGAAATTAAACTTCCCACCCTCCAGAACTGTGAGCTAAATGGGCCTTTGTTCTTCATAAATTGCCCAGTCTGTGGCAGCCAACCATAGCAAAAAAAACAAAACAAAACAAACAAACAACAAAAAACAGACTAAGACAAGAACACAGTTACAAAATGGGAGGGCTACAGTCTCTACCAGAGCATTTTTTTCTCCTAACACCACTCTTTTTATTTGGGGGGGGGGTTTGCTATAGGGTGCGTGCGCTTGCCAGACAGACAGAGAGAGAGAGACAGAAAGTGAGAAATCACCCCCCAGGGGGGATGCCACGCCGCAATCCCTTCTCCTCCATTCTCCTCTTGGGATCTTGGGCACGCATGCACACGCGCCCGGCGTGAGTTTTAAGCCGCCGGGTCTGGCACGCGAACTGCAGTCGACAACATGGGAGTCCAGCGACATAGCCATTACGCTAACTGCTGGTCCCCTGACACCACTCTTGAGAGATGAGTTATGTGAATGGGAAATAGGAGTTCATGATTTACCTACAGCAATGGGCCACCTGGAATTGACACTTGGTTTTCATGACAGATAATTTTATGTGAGCTGCCCTCAGGACATGGGAGAGCCACGTTCCAAGGGTGTGCCCACCAAGGCCCACTTCTTGAAAGACACATCAGGACCATAGGGAGAACAACACAGAAGAGAGACCTGGGAAGGTGGCAGAGCTGAGAACACAAACGTGGCATTTTTCTTGGGCGCAAAGGAGAGGAATGTGGTCCAAATTCTGTTTTAGAAATCTGTCTAGACTCTGAGTTCCTTATCTTTGCATCCTATGTCCTGGACAAAACTTGACACAGAACAGGGTCTCACTATCTATTTGTCAAATGGTGGAGGAGGGCAGAGTGCAGGTCCTCTAAGAGTAGGGAAGCCTGGCGGATACACTCAGGAAAGACTGAGGGAGCCGTTACTGTCACTGTTTGCTCCCCCCCTGACTCAATCTGGTATGTCCCTTTCCTGTGAATAATGTCTCAAGGAAAGGCCGGCATACACTTTGGCTGGGCATTGACCCAAGCACCAGATACTTCCACAAGGAGCCCGAAGCCCAGCAACCCTGGCTCCTCGCTGGACAGCTCAATCTATTGAGAAGGCACTGAGTCTTGCAACATGCTCAAAATATGGCTCCCAACAGCAGTTAGGAAAGAGTAATTAAGGGAATGTTATCGCAGTCAGTCTCTCATTAGCCACGTAATTAGACTGCTGAAAATAATTAGGGCAGAGTGCAGGTCCTCTAAGAGTAGGGAAGCCTGGCGGATACACTCAGGAAAGACGGGGGGAGCCGTTACTGTCACTGTTTGCTCCCCCCCTGACTCAATCTGGTATGTCCCTTTCCTGTGAATAATGTCTCAAGGAAAGGCCGGCATACACTTTGGCTGGGCATTGACCCAAGCACCAGATACTTCCACAAGGAGCCCGAAGCCCAGCAACCCTGGCTCCTCGCTGGACAGCTCAATCTATTGAGAAGGCACTGAGTCTTGCAACATGCTCAAAATATGGCTCCCAACAGCAGTTAGGAAAGAGTAATTAAGGGAATGTTATCGCAGTCAGTCTCTCATTAGCCACGTAATTAGACTGCTGAAAATAATTAACATTCCTTTTGACAAAGGAACCAGAGGAGCCATTATATTCATTAGGACAGCCTCAAGCCAGAGTGGGGGAGGGGGAGAAGAGAATTTATAAATCAGACCTAAAGAGGTTCCCTAGCTATCTCAAAGTTGCAATGTCAGTAAGTGCCAGGGTCAGGATTCGAACCCACGTAATGTGGCTGTGTATTCCAATCTGTATCAGAAGAGTAGCTCTGGGGCTCCAAGTTTGGAGCCAGTAGATCCAGGCAGAAGAGGGGCCGAATTGGTGGTTATTAGTTTTAATGCAGCCTGGCCAGTTGCTCCCCCAGACACATCTCTTCATCAGGTAACAGGAAAATCTCAAGATACAAATGACAGGAACACGGGAACCAGCAGTTAGCGTAATGGCTATGTTGCTGGACTCCCACGTAGTTGACCGCGGTTCACGTCCAGGACCCGGTAGCTTAAAACTCACGCCGGGCGTGTGTGCGTGCGTGCCCAGGATCCCGAGAGGAGAATGAAGGAGAAGGGATTGCGGCGTGGCCATCCCCCCCTGGGGGCTGATTTCTCGCTTTCTGTCTCTATGTCTCTCTCTGTATGTCTGGCGAACGCACGCGCCCTATAGTGAAAATCTCTCCAAAAAAAAAAAAAAAAAAATGACAGGAACACGTAACCAAGGCTCACCCAACACCTGACAAAAAACAAAGCCATGCAAGAAGCACCACATTTAAAGACAAAAGTTCTAGCTAGAAAACAAAGTTAATAGGGACCAGCAGTTAGCGTAATGGCTATGTCGCTGGACTCCCACGTAGTCGACCGCGGTTCGAGTCCCGGACCCGGTGGCTTAAACTCACACCGGGCGCGTGTGCGTACGTGCCCAAGATCCCGAGAGGAGAATGGAGGAGAAGGGATTGCGGCGTGACCATCCCCCCGGGGGGTGATTTCCTGCTTTCTATCTCTCTGTCTCTCTCTGTCTGTCTGGCAGGCGCACGCGCCCTATAGCAAAAACCTCTCAAAAAAAAAAAAAAAGAAAACAAAGTTAATATAATACAGCCAACAGAATGAAATGTTTTAAAAACTATTTGGGGGGAGCTGCTTGATACCACATGGCTGATTGCACGGTTCAAGTTCCGGACCTAGTGGCTTGACAAACACACTGGGCACATGTGCATGTGTGCTCAAAATCCCAAAAGAAGGAGAAATGAAGGAGAAGGGATTATGGTGTGACTATTCTCCATGGGCAGTGCTTTTTCATTTTCTCTCTCATCCTTATGACTGTGTGTACCCTCTGGCAAAACTGAAAAACAAAACCCCAAAACTATTATTGGCCCAGCCACTGTGGTGCAGAAAGAACGCTAGCACCCTGCAGTGCTGGAAGCCATATGGCAACCACGGTTGAGAGCTCAGGTTGGTTTAACAAACACGCTGGGTGCACACAGGTATGGAAAAGAGGATCGTGGTATGGCAAGACCCTAGCAAGGGTGCTTTTTCTTTACCTCTCTCTCTTTCTCTCATATGCACAGATGCACTTTCTGTAAGAAGTGCATAATAAGAACTATTACTGATATCCTCAGAGGAATAAGAGGGGAGGGGCTATTAAATCCATAAAACAAAGCAAGGCTGTTAGAAAAAAAATTTTGAACATGAAACTATACCATGGTTTACTGGTTATCTCCGGATTAAGAATAGAGTGACTTGGGAACCAGCAGTTAGCGTAATGGCTATGTCGCTGGACTCCCACGTAGTCGACCGCGGTTCGCATCCCGGACCCGGTGGCTTAAAACTCACGCCAGGCGCGTGTGTGTGCATGCCCAAGATCCCGAGAGGAGAATGGAGGAGAAGGGACCGTGGTGTGGCCATCCCCCCTGGGGGGTGATTTCTCACTTTCTGTCTCTATGTCTCTGTCTGTCTGGCGAGCGCGCATGCCCTATAGCGAAAAAACCTCTCAAAAAAAAAAAAAGAATAGTGTGACTTCATTTAGAAAAAAACCTCTCAAAAAAAAAAAAAGAATAGAGTGACTTCATTTAGAGTTACCTATATTTCCATTATTATTATTATTATTATTATTTTTTGGAGAGGTTTTTGCTATAGGGCGCGTACGCTCGCCAGCCAGACAGAGAGAGACAGAGAGACAGAAAGTGAGAAATCACCCCCCAGGGGGAATGGCCACGCCACAGTCCCTTCTTCTCCATTCTCCTCTTGGGATCTTGGGCATGCATGCACATGTGCCCGGCATGAGTTTCAAGCCACCGGGTCTGGGACGCGAAGCGCGGTTGACTACGTGGGAGTCCAGCAACATAGCCATTACGCTAACTGCTGGTCCCTATTTCCATTATTCTAAACTTTCTATATTGAACATGCATTACTTTTAGAATTGAAAAAAGATTTTTTTTTTAATTTTCCAGAGGTGACTGTGTTCGTCAGAGAAAGAGAGAGAGAAAGCACCCCCCAATGGGGCATTGCCATGTTTAAATAATTTTTCATCCATTCCTCCTTCACGTCAGGATTTTGAATACACATACACATGTACCCAGTGTGTCTTCCAGTTACTAGGGCTGGGATTTGAATTACAGCTGGTCATATAAGATCTGGCTCTCTTAACCACTGAACTCCAGGGTCAGCTCAGGAAAGGTATTTTTTTAAAAAATGATTGCTAGGAGAGACTTGCATGATAAAATTTTGTTGAGCGAACTACTTTACAAAGCAAAAGAGACTAGATCCTGTCTTCTGCACAAACTCTTGGCCCTACCCAGCCCGGTCCACAACTCACTGTCCCCCAATCATATTATATAAGCTCCTGTCAGTGGGGCGCCCACAGGATTCCCCCTCCTAGAATGCCCTTCTCTCTCCTTTCTGTCTACTACATTTCCCTGTCCTTTAACGCCCACTCAAAGATTACCCTCTCCCCTTTTTTAAATGTTTATTTCCAGAGAGACAGAGGAACCCACAGGAACCCCCAATAGGCTTTTGTCACATCATAGTCCCCTCCCAACTTTCCAGCCCACGGCATGCCCAGCATGTTCCAGTGAGCCAGAAACCGAACCCAGAGTCCCCATGTGGCTCCAGAATAGAGCAACAGCACACTCTACTTACCGGCACCACTGTAGCTGGTATGAACTGCCCTGTTTAAGGAAAAGCGCATCTTAATTAACCCACATAATCCCTCCTCTTCCTTCTCCTAACTCCTAAGAAAGCCTAATTCTCCAGGGTCACTGGACAGCTCTGGTTGAGCTGTTCTGTGGGAACACTGTATTCACAACTTCATGTCCTTTACCTCTCAGTGAGTCCAAGTCTTGTCTCTCCAGCTCTGCTGCAGGCTGCTTAAAGACAGAGGGCAGTAGGCTTCTTTTTTATACCCCACTGGGCCCAAATGAAGCTGAGTTGCTTTTGCAATAGCATTCTTACATGTCAGATGACTGAATGACGAATGAGTGCTCATTTCTGGTGGGAGTAGGAAGAGGAAAACAATTGTGGGGATGCGGTTACTCAACAGGGCTGGGCACAGCACAGTCAGGACCTCCCGTGTGGGCAATCCTCAGCCCCACACCCAAGGGGCCACCTGGTCCTAGAGAGCTTTAAACTCCTACTCCTCAGGCTGAGGATTGGGAAATAACTGAAAATCCAAAATGGATAGCTGATAAATCTAGGGGCAAAATATTACTGAGGAATAGGATATTTACACAGTTTGGTTTTTTTTGGAGAGATTTTCACTGTAGGGCGTGTGCGCTCGCCAGACAGACAGAGAGAGACATAGAGACAGAAAGCGAGAAATCACCCCCCAGGGGGGATGGTCACACCGCAATCCCTTCTCCTCCATTCTCCTCTCGGGATCTTGGGCACGCACGCACACGCGCCCGGCGTGAGTTTTAAGCCACCGGGTCCGGGACACGAACCGCGGTCGACTACGTGGGAGTCCAGTGACATAGCCATTACACTAACTGCTGGTTCCCAAGTTTTGAGGTGTCTCTCACAGATTGCTTAATAGCGGTAAAGGGGAAATAATAAATATACTGTGGAAATTGGACAGCACCTGACCAGTGATCAGTCTTGGCATTACTCGCAAGGGGACAGCCAGTAGCTCTGGATTAATATGCCAAAAAGGACACAGCATCACTTAGAAATATTCCAGCCAGGTATGTGTAACCCAGAGTCTAAACACGAAGCAACAGCAAACAAATCCAAAAGGAAGGACACCACTTTTTTTTTAGGGGAGGGGGAAACCTATATTCTTCTAAATTATGAACATCACAAAGACAGACAAAGGCTGAGGAACTGTTTTAGATTAAAGGAGACCAAAGAGACATGACAGCTATGCAGTTCATGATCCTAGAGCAGGATCCTACACTGGAGAGGAAAAAATGCTATAAAAGACATTGAGTAAATTGACAAGCCTGGAATACAACCAGCAGACCAAATAATCTATGTTCAGTTTACTCAAGGTTATGCAAAAGAATATCCTTATCCTTAGGAAATATTTAAGGATATCTATGTTCAGTTTACTCAAGGTTATATAAAAGTACATCCTTATTTTTTTTAAGCTTTTTTTTGCTATAGGGCACATGGGCTCACTGGAGAGAGACGGTGTAGGGAGGGAAGTGAGAAATCACTCCCTAGAGGGGATGGCCATGCCACAATCCCTTCTCCTCCAGTCTCCTTAGGATCTTGGGTATGCATGTGCCTATGCCCAGCATGACTCTTAAACTGCCGGGTCCAGCACTCAAATCACACAGTCGGCTATGTGGGCTCTAGAGCCTTAACCTCCATGCCACCTGCTGACTCGGTACATCCTTATTCTTAGAAAACATTTAGGGATAGAGGGCTATAATGTAGGTAACCTACTCCTAAATGGTTCAGAGGGAAAAAAATTATCCAGAGAGCAAGAGAACACATATGATAAAGCAAGTGAGACAAAAAGTTAAAAATAGGTGAATCTGGATTAAGAATACGTGGATATTTTCTACTATTCTGGCAACTTTTCTGTAAATTTGAAATGACTTCCAAATAGAAATGTTAGAGAAAAAAACAACAACAAGGGAGGAAGGGGGTGGGGGTAGGGGTAGGACAGACTTGGGAGGGCAAAGCAGAAGGAACAACACTGATTGGTCAAGTATCTTCAGAGGCCACAAAAGTTCCAGCCCTGGCTTTCTGCCTGCCATAATGGAAACATTTCCTCTTCCAAGTTGGCCCTGCCTTTTCTTGCTTCTCTATTGACTTACTACTTCTCAAAATCAGCACTCTCCAGGAGGACCGCCATCCTAATGCCTGAAGACAGGGTTAAACTTTTGGGTCCATTCCTATATATAGTCGATATTTTCTGCTGATGTTTGAACACCTGCTGTGTCCCTGAGCTCATAATAATGAGTCGGGCTAAACCTGCTAAACCACAGCCTTCTGGGTTTTATATGATATTCATTTCCCAAAACAATGCTGTTGCTAGCCCCATTCATACTGCCTGACTTAGGTCTCCAGGCCACGTTCTTCCCGGAGATCATGCAGGCTTTCGAGGGAGGATGCTGCATTTCCAACACTCCACCACCATCACCACGGCCTACGTCCAAAGTAAGCTCCCTAGACATGGGAACAGGCCCCTTCCTCAGTTCACTGTCATAGCTGTGTATGGTCACTTTAAATAATGGACAGCCAGACAGCAGTCTTTAAAAGAGGTTCATGGAGGGCTAAAGAGGCTCAAGCAAACCATCATATTATACAAGTTCACTTATTAGTTCAGAAACCCTTAGATGCATCTTTTTTTTTCTTAATTGCCAGAAGCCACATGCACTCACCAGAGATAGAGAGATGGGGGTGTGCGCAGGGAGCGCGCTCCACCGTGGGATGCGGTCACACCACAACTGCTGCTCCTTCACCTCTCCCTCCTGGCAGGATTTTGAGCACACGAACATATGCACCCAGTGTGTTTTCAAGCTGCTGAGTCCGGGACCTTCACTGTGCAGTAGCCCATGTGGGATCTGGTTCCCTTAACCACTAGGTCACAGGCCACAGGCCAGTCTCTGTATGCGACTTTGATGTGCAGACCACTGAATGCTAAGTGGGCTGGAGTATGGCTATTAGAGCATAGCAGCAGGGTTAGTTGTTTTGAAAACACTGAAAATAAAAAATCTCAGAAATTCTACTGCATCATTAACCAGCGAGCTAATGATAACTTACATTTGTACAGGTTTTTTTAAGTAAATGAGCCCTTTGAGGTTCAGCTCATTATTGATGCATTCATTCCCATGTCCATTAAATATTTACTCAGTACCTATTCTGTGCCACCAGGTACATGCAAAGACCACAGATCAAAGTCTCTCATCCAGGTCAAAGGAAGTGACACCCTCCATGGTCCTGGGTTGGATGAAGCTTCCATTGGAAACAACATCCACATGCTTAAAGCAACCACCCTGCTGGGACAACAAAGAACATCATTTTATTTACTTATTTATTTATTTTTTCCTTTTTCTTTTTTTTTTTTTTTTTGGAGAGGTTTTTGCTATAGGGCACGTGCGCTTGCCAGACAGACAGAGAGAGACAGAGAGATAGAAAGCGAGAAATCACCCCCCAGAGGGGATGGCCACACCACAATCCCTTCTCCTCCATTCTCCTCTCGAGATCTTGGGCACACACGCACACGCGCCCAGCGTGAGTTTAAGCCACCAGGTCCGGGACTCGAACCATGGTTGACATCGTGGGAGTCCAGCGACATAGCCATTACGCTAACGGCTGGTCCCTTATTTTTATTTTTTGAGAAATTTTTGCTGTAGGGTATGTGCACTCACCAGAGTAACAGAGAGATAGAAAGCAAGAAATCACCACCAGGGGGGATGATCACACTGCAGTCCCTTCTTTTTCATTCTCTTCTTGGGATCTGGGGCATGCACACATATGTGCCCAGAGTGAGTTTGAAGCTAACGGATCCAGGACTCAAACCATGGTTGGCCGCATGGGAGTTCAGCACCTTAACCAGCATATCACCTACTGGCCCCAAGAACATTATTTTAAACAAGAGGAGAGAAGATCAAAAAAGAGCTATTGTGGGTACAGCATACATACAAACTTTGTTGTTGTTAAAAACACAGTTTATGTTATAATTTATAATTTTATTTATTTCTTTCTTTATTTTTGGAGAGGTTTTTGCTATAGGGCGCATGCGCTCGCCAGACAGACAGAGAGAGACAGAGAGACAGAAAGCGAGAAATCACCCCCCCAGGGGGGATGGCCACGCTGCAATCCCTTCTCCTCCATTCTCCTCTCGGGATCTTGGGCACGCATGCACACGCACCCGGCGTGAGTTTTAAGCCACCAGGACCAGGAAACGAACTGCGGTTGACTACGTGGGAGTCCAGCGACATAGCCATTACGCTAACTGCTGGTCCCAAAAGGACTTTTTTTAAGAATTATTTTTACCTTTATTTATTTATTTATTTAAATTAGACCAGAAAGGAGACAAGAGGGAGAGAGAGAGAGAAAGTGAGAAAGCTAGCCACCAGGTCCAGGACTCGAACTACAGTTGGCCATGTGGGAGTCCAGCACCCTTAACCACACTATACCACCTGCCAGCCCCTCAAAAGGACTTTTTAAAAGTCCTTTTATTTCTTTCTTCCATGATCAAGAGAGACAGAGAGATAAAGAAAGAGAGACAGGCATTTCCAGCAATGGTCCTCAGGCCTTGACCTATTCCTGGCTTTGGCCAGTCTTAGATCATGATCACATGGGTGCCCAGTGTACTTGAGGAGGTCTCTGGACCCAAACCAGGAACCTTCCCATGTGGGTCAGCCTTGCAAGCTTTGCGTTATTCTGTGCCACTGTCCACTCCCTTCTAAAAGTCTTAATCCAGGCTAAATAGTAAGTCAGGAGTTGCAGTCCTAACACCAACAAGGGACGAGTAGCCAATACAAATCAGTGAAGACTATGAAGAAATACCATACACGTTAGTAAAACCAACACAAATTAGTGAACAGCCATTAAGAAAGCAGGACTGACGGGACTCAGTGAGAGATTTATCTGAAGGGCGAGTGAGAGGGAGGGCTTGAGGATGACCACCACCCCCACCCGCCAGACTTTTACCTTGAGCAATGGGGCCCAAAAGAGGAGATACAGGAAGAGATGTGAGTCTTGGGGGCCCAGAGCGAGCTGCATTTCTGATGCTGTGCCCACAGGACACACGGGAATGCCGCTCTAGACTGAAGACGTCTGGGGCCCTTGCCGAATGGAGCACCATGGAGGAGGAGCATGGCAGGGAGATACGGGTGGGGAGACATCTGGGGCTGGTGGAGGACGGGGCACTGTGGAGGCGCTTGAGGAAGGACCAGGGAGGTAGAAGGATACCCAGGAAAGGATCCTGGGACGCAGAGGCAGGAGAGTGCCAGGAGCCATGGTCAAATGCAGAGGCAAGTTGGACAGACTGGAAAGATAGCAGCACTGAGGTCACTGGTGACCATTTAAGGAGGAAGGGTGATCGCAAAGGGAGCTAGCTGAGACCATGTGTACAATGACTCTGAAGGAATTATCTAGTCAAGAAAGGAGAGAGAAGAGCTGCAGGAGTGGCTAGGGGGTAGTGCAGGGATAACACAACTGGACCTACATGGAAAAGGTCCTAGGTCCATCCCAGGACCTTGCTCAGCACTCTGAGTGTGTATGTGTGCCCATGATCCAGGCTGGCTGATACTGGGGCTGGATCACAGCATAAGGACCTACTCAGGGTATGTGTGAGTCTCTCTCTTTCAATAAATAAATGAATTTTTTTTTTGAGAGGTTTTTACAATAGGGCATGTGCACTCGCCAGAAAGACAGAACGAGTCAGAGAGATGGAAAGTGAGAAATCACCCCCAGGGGAGATGGCCATGCCACAATTTCTTCTCCTCTCGGGATCTTGGGCACGCACGCACACGCACCTGGCGTGAGTTTAAGCCACCAGGTCCAGGACTCGAACCGTGGTCAACTACGTGGGAGTCCAGCGACATCGCCATTACTCCAACTGCTGGTCCCTAAATAAACTTTTTTTTTTTTTTTTAAGAAAAGAAAAGTTCCTGGAGAAGTAGAGTGGCCCTCGCTCTTTCCTTCTCTTCTTTCCTTTCTTTCTTTAAATGTAAAAGAGACCTAAAGATGTTCAAATGCTAAGAAGAAACTACATTGAGGAAGAGTCGTGGATAGGATGTACATGAGGTGTACACACAGATGCCCTGAGCGGTCTGTGGTGGCGGAAGGGGAGCACAGTGGGCCACAACTCAAAGGCAGGCAGGACACGTGTGTCATTACAATACCCTTTGATTTTTATGTATTTTTTGTTTTCGTTTTTTAGAGAGATTTTTTGCTATAGGGCATGTGCACTCGTCAGAGAGATAAAGAAGGACAGAGACAGAAAGCAAAAAATCGCTCTCCAGGGGGGGATGGTCATGCCACAATCCCTTCTGCTCAATTCTCCTCTCAGGATTTTGGGCATACACACACACATGCCCAGCATGAGTTTCTTCTTCTTTTTTTTTTTTTGGAGAGGTTTTTTGCTACAGGGCATGTGCGCTCAACAGAAAGACAGAGAGAGACAGAGAGATAGAAAGTGAGAAATCATCCCCCAGGGGGGATGGCCACGCCACAATCCCTTCTCCTCCATTCTCCTCTTGGGATCTTGGGCACGCACGTACATGCATCCGGCATGAGTTTTAAGCCATTGGATCCGGGACTCGAACTGCAGTCTGCTACATGGGAGTTCAGCGACATAGCCATTACGTTAACTGCTGGTCCCCCCAGCATGAGTTTTAAGCCACCAGGTCTAGGACTCGAATTGCAGTCAACTATGCGGAAGTCCAGTGACATAACAATTATGCCATCTTCTGGTCCCTACAATCCCCTTTGGAGAGGAAACTCAGCACATGAAGCTAAGTGTAACCTAGGTAAGGTCATACTAACACCAAGATGCCCTAGCCTAGACCTAGAATGCAGCTCTCCCAGGTCCTGGTCCTGGACTCTTCTGCAGAACCATTGGCAAACAGGAAGTGCAGCTCTATCAGCACCCTAGAAGTCTGAGCCTGGGAACGCCCAGTGTTCTGCAATTCCCACATAGCCCACAAAATAACTCCCCCATATGATTCTAGAATGTTCCACTGGACATCACAGAAGTAAAAAGTCCATTTATAATTATCTGCATCTAGAAATTAATTCCCTCCCAGTAATAAATATGAGATATTTTTTACATGTTTTTGACAAATATGTTGAATTATCCAGGAACACTGCTAGAGTGTAAATTGAAGGGATACTATATTTTAAGTTCTTTAAAACTTTACCAAGGATGGGGACCAGCAGATGTCATAATGGTTACGTTGCTGGACTCCCACATAGTCGACCATTGTTCAAGTCCTGGATCTGGTGACTTAAACCTCATGCTGGGCGCATATGTGTCCAAGATCTTGAGACGAGAATGGAGAAGAGATTGCAGTGCGACCATCCCCTGGAGGCAAGTGGGGGGATGATATCACACTTTCTGTCTCTCTGTCTCTCTCTGTTTCTCCAGCAAGCACGCGTGTCCAATAACAAAAATAACTCTAAAAAAAAAAAGAAAGAAAGAAAAAAACACATTACCAAGAATGGTTCACCATTTTGGAAAATGATGTCAATCCTAGCAGTACCTCTCCCGATATTCGAGTCACCCACACCACACGCCTGTATCTCATGGGTATTTGTGGATATTACATTCGCAGTGATGCTATGTAAAGGTTCAAGCATCTGACTGAGTCCTTCTGTCTTCTGTGTGGTTGTGACCAAGCAGTTACATATTAGAATGCATGAGAGAGATTTTTTGCTATAAGGCACGTGCGCTTACTGGAAAGACAGAGAGAGAGGTGGGAAATCACCCCCGGGGAGGATGGCCATGCTGCAATCCCTTCTCCATTCTCCTCTCAGGATATAGGGCACACCCGCACACACACCTGGCATGAGTTTCAAATGACCAGGTCTGGGACTTGAACTGCAGTTGGTCATGTAGGAGTACAGTGCCTCAATCACTATTCACCTGCTAGTCTCCCTTTCATTTCTCTTTTACAGTACAGTTGAAGCATTAGGTTAACTTCTAAAAATGTAGTGTATGTCATGTTACCTATAATTATTTTTTTTCAAAGTAGAACCATTACAAATATCTGCTAAATAAAGGGCAGGGGGGCAAGCCAGCCAGTAGAGCAGTGGTTAAGGTTGCTGGATCCCATGCGGCTGACTGTGTGGTTTAAGCCCTCGACTCAGCCGCTTGAAATATACTGGGTGCATACATGTGCGTGCATGCCCAAAATCCCAAAAGGAGAACAAATACCATGTGACATTCCTCTTGGGGTGGGAGATGTTTTCTCACTTTCTCTCTCTGGAAAGGACACATGTCCTATAGCAAATTTTTAAAAAATAATAAAAAAAATAAAAGAGGGGCATGCTATCCCAGATTGTGTACTTCTAGAAACAAAGGAAAATGCA